GGATTCCTCAGACATTCTTCTCCCTGTCTCTTGACTTCCTTTGGTTGTCTGCCTCTGGGCCTTGACCTCTGCTGTCCTTCCCATAGGACTGTGATATATAAGGCTAAAAGACAGGAAGTGTAACCACATATCTTGCTTTTGCACAGATCCAAACTCAGTTCCTCATGCATGGAAGGCACCTTAATGGATTGAATCATTTCCCAGCCCTGGTTTCTGTTCAGAGAGAAGAACTATTCCACTATCTTACTTTCCTGTAGGAGTTGGGCCTAAAAAAAAAAAAAAAAAAAAAAAAAAGGGCTAAAAACCCATTACAATGATCCAAGTGACAGGCTTTTCAATGGTAAATTCTGCCTTAAAAATTTAAAGACAGCCGGGCAGTGGTGGCGCACGCCTTTAATCCCAGCACTTGGGAGGCAGAGACAGGTGGATTTCCGAGTTCGAGGCTGGCCTGGTCTACAAGAGTGAATTCCAGGACAGCCAGGACTACACAGAGAAACCCTGTCTCGAAAAACCAAATAAATAAATAAATAAATAAATAAATAAATAAATAAATAAATTTAAAGACAGCATGACAACAATAATAATAGCAACCACCATATAATAATGGAAATATTCGTGCATATTCACTGAAAATTATTTCCTCCTTTAAAAGTATTTTTCTAAAGCAATAGTGTTTTCATTGTTGTGAATGTTCCTTATATATGGGCAAAATAGAATATTTTAGGTATTTTCAAACTTTTCATGGAAAAGAGGAACAAATTAATTTATTGTAAAAGTATGTAATAACATTAAATTTTACATTTTTGCCAGGTTTTCACCAATAAAATTATAATAATAAAATTGGTGATAAGTAAATGATCATTTTTTTCATTTCTAAGTACTCTAAAGAGTTTTGGTTTTTTTTTTAAGATTGTTTTAGTATGCCAGACTGACCTCCAACTCTCAACGTAGCATGAGACGTCCATGAGCTTGATCCTCCTGTTGAATTCCCAGTGCTGGGATTACAGGCACCAGTTTTATGTGGTGGTAAGGATTAAATCCAAGGCAAACATACCTAATCTTGATTTTACTGACGTGTGTTTTTGTAAGTAACCATACTGAAGAACATTTACATTCTTGCTTCCATTCGATATGGTAACTTACTTTGACACATGGTATTATAAAATAAGAAACATGCCCATGATTCTTTCATCTGTACAGGTGCTTGTGACCTTTATTTTCATCAAAAATTAGCATTAAAAATATACTTTCTCAATCTGGAGAGATGGCTTGGCAGTTATGAGCACTTGCTCCTCTTTCAGAGGATCCAGGTTTGATTGCCAGTACCCACACAACAGCTCACAACCATCTGTAACACCAGGTCCCGGGAATCTGATAGCTCCTACTGGCTTCCATGGGCACTGTACATGGTGCACAAACATATATACTAGCAAATCTTCCAAAATAAGATTTTTTTTTAAAGGAAAAAAAACAAAGCTTGTTTGTGTGAGTGATCTTACTCATGCTTACATGCAAAGGACAGAGAGGATGTGGAGTGTCCTTCATCACTCTCCATCTTATTGTTTTTGAGACAGAGTCTTTCCCTCAACCTGAAGTTGACCATGTCAGCTAGGATTCCCAGCCAGTGAGTTTCTGCCCTCAGCAATGTGGTAACAGGCATGCCTGATTTTTATGGCAGTGCTTGGGATTCAAACCCAGGTCCTCCTGTTTATATAGCAAGTATTATGACTCGCTGAGTCATCTCCCCAGACCTGAATAAACTAATTACCTAAAGAAAGTAAGATAATGTTCAAAAATCCTCATCTTAATGTGATAATTAAGAGTGGATTGGTATAGATTTTAATACTGAAATGACAGTAATTAAATCTGTTGTGGATTGAGGTAGATAATAAAGACTTACTGAGAAGTGGGAGTGTGCAAAGACAACACATTAATTAATCAACCAATCAATCAATTACTTGACTTAATAGGATGGTTTTGGATAACACCGTGGAATTTGTAGAAGGAAGAGTGACATGAGAAAAGGGCACAGGTAAAATACAAGGTGAATTTAAAATGTTGCAGACAAGGATGAAGAAAAGGATGTGTCTCGTGTAATAATTATGGTCCAGGTAGGTGGGGCCTTAAATTTCTAATTATGATATGTTGACGAAGGGGTCAAACTGGGATGTAAAAGGATCCAAATACTGAAATTCAGCTTTATAGACAGATGTGGATTTGAAAATGGCAACCATTTTAGGAAAGAAAGCAATCTAACTTCAGAAGAAAACAGTAATCCCACTTTACAATGGATTCTGAAAGAAAAGTGAGTAGAATTGTTTTCATAATACCCTTGACAAAGGCACATTGTTGAAAGGAACTAGCTAAAGAAACTGTAATAAGCCTACTTCAGTAAGCAGCTGTAGTAAGTTATGGTAGAGGAGTATGTTCATGTAATGCATTGTTTCAGAAACATTCTAAAAATATGCCTAATGCTTCAGGAGAGAAAAATTCTATAGTGAAATAAGTTCTATACTAACTTTGGGGGTGTTAGTTTGAATACCATGAAAAAGCTATTAATACTATCTAAAGAAAGGAACTATTTTTATACTTATTTATTCTCTTCAATTCTGTCTTTTAAAAAGTAGACCACACTGAAATGATTCATTTTGTTACCTATATAAGTTATTTTCTATAGTAGTACTCTACAAAATTTAGTATATTGACAAAAGAAACACACACAAACATACCAGAATAATCACACTGATGGGTCACACATTAAATGTGAAAGGAATAGTTTACAATGTATCTCACCAGATGGAGACTGTATACTGTAATCCTAGTCAAGGTAGAAGTACACATGCATGTGCACACTGACTTACCTACCTCCCAAGCTTTCTTGAGGTTGGTAGTTGTTAAATATAAGATTGTCAGAGCTTTCTCTGAAAAACTTTCAATGGTCTAAATTGAGGGCTTTAGAGTCCCCCTTTTTCTTTTTAAACTAAATTTCTACTTTTTTTTCTAAAAGGAAATTTATGGGATACACTAACATAGACTGAATCCAGTTCTAAATATCTCAGCATAATTGGCAATATAAATGGTAATTCATATGTAGTTACACATACTTTCCCCCACATATCCTTTAATAATAAATGTTATGGCATACTGATGAGAAAATACACATGTTTTAAATGCTCAGGCAACTAGGTACCCTAAAATATATTATTTACACATACCACATGTGCACTTTTTTTGGAAAATGTTAAAATACTCTAAGAACTGAAAGCTCACCTTTACTGAGTACATACTATGTGCAAAGTACTGCCCCAAGAACCTTTTACTGCTTATTGTATGTTAACATTTAATCCTCACAATAATCTTATGAAGTGGGCTCTGTTTAGTAGCCTGCTATAGAAAAAATAACTATAGAGCAGAGAGTTAAGTAACTTGCCCACTCTAGGATTTTTTATACTTAGTTGTTTTAATTTGGAGACACCCTTAAAAATCATTTAGGAGGTAACTTATTTTCTAACAATTGAACTTAATGATCCTATGTCCTCTTTGATGAAATAATTATATATGTGTGAAATAATCTCACACACACACACACACACACACACACACACACAACTGCAACTTCTTTGGTGTGAAGAACTCTTAGTTCCTGTTACCTGGGAGCCTGAGGGAGGACTGATTAAGCCCAGCAATTTGATACCAATCTGCGGAACAGGGACACCCCATTTGAAATTTTTTTTTCAGTTTCTCCCATCTTGTTTTTTAATAAAATAAACCCTCTTTTTTCCTTAACCAATAAGTAAAAAAATAATAATTAGAATTAACTTTTAGGTCAAAAATGTAATGTTCAAATGTTATAAAAACAAGATAATTTAATACAAGTAAAGTAACAGCCACTGTGAATTTGTTAATTGATGATTTATCTAATAAGTCAAACATTTTAATACCTTTTAAAATGCTTAAACAGTTTCTAATAAGATGCTAAGGTATCTGTTTCCAGTAATATGTTAAGTAGAGAAAAATGGACAATTGTGCTTTAACTGCAATGCAGACAATATTGAAATATATTCAGATACTTCCAGCTTCATTATCATCTTTTTTTCTTAAGGGTTCAAGCTCAACTTATTTATTTACTAAGTCTTAGTTTATTTTTCAAAATTCTAAGTTTCCCGAACAACTTTTAAAACTCTTAGTGAACCAGAAAGAACAATCCAACAGGTACACAAACGATGTATATCTAAAGCCGGTGCATCAAACTCAGGAAATAAAATTAAGTAAATCAATGTAATTCTTTTATTAATCTTACAATATAATGAAATATGATTTAAAAGCACTGTATATATCTAAAAAATACAGAAGCTGGAGAGTACCGATTAATTACTACTTACTTTATTAGAACTTCTGTATCTAAAACCTGATGCAAACTCCTCCTGTTGTAATTTGATTTCTTTTTTTTGGCCTGTGTTTATCTGGTAGTCACAAATCTAATTTCCAAACAAAGGGAAGAGGAGTGTTCAGTTTGAAACTTAATCACTGCAGCGTAAGACGTGGCATAAGTTCAGGGCCGAGCAAGGGACTTGCGTCTCCTGTGCATAGACTGTATGTTCTGAGCAGTACCTCCCCTTAGGCTTCTGCCTCTCATTGTTAACAGAAACTTTTTTTGAATTTTTATGTACACTTAACAGATCATTGAATTTTCAGCTTTTTGCAACCTGGTTCTTTCCCTACAAGTGATTCACCTGTAGGCTTTTCCCTTTGATTACCTTTTATCCCTGTTTTAATGGGATTTTTTTCAGTCCAGTCATGTATTATCTGTGTAACCTTTGACATTAAGACTATTTGTTACTAGTGGGGTTTTGTTTCCCTACTTAAGTTTCAATGATACCCTTTTCTCTTTTATAATTGAGTTGCTATCATGTGGTCATCAGTCACTTTATGGACAATGATGATCAAGTAGTTTTTAACTCCTTTAAATTCACAAAGCCAAAATGATTTTTCTCTCCTAGGAATGCCAGAATCACCTCCGCAGATATGGAAATGTGAATCTGGAACTGGTGACTCGAATTATTAAAGATGGTGGCCCATGGGAAGATCCAGTGTTGCAAGCTGTTCTTAAAGCCCAACCGACATCTCAGGAGATAGGTACTTCAGGAGAGTCAACACCAAAACCGTTTCTTTTCTGACTTGGCCCAAAGTGCTTCTTGATACCAGCTTTGTTATAATCTTTCTAGTAATAGTACTGTGGCTGTTGACATATTTACTGGGTATTATAGGGAGTTTGTTTTTAAGTCCTTCAGTTATAGTTTTAAAATATGTTTAAATAGCAACACTTTGTTGTTTTTGATTTTTTTTTTTAAAGTTCAAACCCTAAACCACAGAATATCCATTGCATCAGAGTTGTCTGAAGATTGGAACTCTGATTTTATTTTACCTGTTACTATGGTAATATATTCTTGTGCCTATATTCTATAGTTAGTCCAATGCCCTGTGCACAGTAATTGGTTAATACAATACTGATGATTACTGTGTGAGTTATTATTCACACAGTGCTGTGATTGAATGATCACATGATAGATGAGTGACAAAACTGAATAAGTAAGTTTCAAATATGATAGAACAGCATTTCCCAAACTAATAAAATTTTGTGTCATTCCCTCATTACTTAACATCCTTCTTTGACATCAGCTTCTGTCATACTGACCAACAGGGAACTCTTTTAGAGCCAAAATTCCTTATTGAAGCAGGAAGCTCTGTTCTCTAATACAACCTGTTAACATTAACCCTTTAGTTTCTCATATTATTAAAAATGTCCTGAGTTCTAGGATATATGGATCACCAAAACTTAGCAATATAAACTTAGCCATAGTGTGTAAGCACAAAAATGTAGAAAAGCCAAAGAGAACAGACAAACTCTTCCAACTTAGGAACAGTTGATTACCATGTGTTGAACATATAAAGATATTCCCATTTGCAACAGATTAAGACATGGAGTGTGTGGAGAAGGGATTATTATGCTGGGCTTAAGACCAAACCAGCACTACACCAAGAGTGGAACACACCAGAGGCAAACAAAGGAAGCTGTTGCATGATGTGTGGATTGGAAAGCACTTAGAGTAAATCAAAGACTGAGACAGTTGGAAATGAGAGAAAAATTTGTTTATTGATGAAAACTATAAAGAGTAAATAAATTATAGGAAAGATAAGGGTCCTCATGAGAAGAAACAGGGAAATGTGGCAAGAGAAGATAGGGTGGGTAGCATCAAAAAGCCACAAGTGGGAGCAGGCAGGAGCAAGTGTGATGGCTCACAAGGTAAAAAAGGCACTTGCTGCACATGTTTGTTAATTGAGTAATACACACACACAAATAATAACAATTTTTTTTTATAATTTTTTAAGAGGACAAGAGAGAAGAAAGTTTATTAGGCTTTTAAGGGACTGTTTAGGGTTTTTTTTTTTTTTTTTTTTTTTTTTAAAGTTTTATTTATTTACTATATTTGAATACACTGTAGCTGTCTTCAGACACACCAGAAGAGGGCATCAGATCTCATTACAGATGGTTGTGAGCCACCATGTGGTTGCTGGGATTTGAACTCAGGACCTCTGGAAGTGCAGTCAGTGCTCTTAACCACTGAGCCATCTCTCCAGCCCCTAGGGTTTTTTGAGTAGGAGCTAGAACACAGCTGGTGTGAAGGCTGATGGCTCTTCAGGTTCCTTTATGACTACACTAGCATTCCTCACTTAGGGCAAAGGTTCTCTAGATCTAGAGTCTTATTAATATAGATGACTCTTCCCTGGGTAGTAGTCATTATGGTAAAGTTCAGACTGAAATAGATTGTTGCATGAACTCCAAGTTATTGTTTACTCACCATACATTTTAAACAAAAGTAAATGTAACTCAAATGTTGAAGTCAAAATAAAATATAGTCCATCAATACTTCAGTAACTACTGATGAAATATAATTAAAAATGTTTGAATTTAAAAATCATAAAATATAGGTTCCACTTCAGTCTCTGCCACTTCTAATATCTTTGTCATTGGGCAAGTCATTTAATCTCTAATAAAACAAATAGCATAGAATCTGTCATAAGGTTGTTGTTAGGTTTAAATAAAGTTACACAGTTAAATGTGTTTGTATATTATGAAAGTAAAAGTAATCATAAATTAGTAATTATCTTTAGTGATGTATAAACATATTAGAGCTTGTGACACAATTTTTTATTTAATATTTATTTTTTCATTCATAATTCAGGTTTTTCATTAACTTACCTTACATTTCTCTACTGTTAATTTAATGATTTAATGTGATTTTAATGTACTAATTTAGCATTTGGTCTCTTATAATAATGAAAGCATTGGACTACCAGAAGCAAAAATGTGTAATCTTAGACTAGAGGGATATTTTAGATATGCTATTTGAAACATTGTTATGTAATGATGAACTAAAAGAATATGTAATTCTAATTTTTACCCCCTTCTTAAACTAAGAAGAAATCAACTAGAATTTCATGAGCACTTTTTTGAAGGTTTATTTTCATTTATCAGCCATCTTAAATGACTATTCAAAAATAAAAGTTTTCCCGTGGAGGATGTTATTTATTTAATCTAATGAAATATGATGTTTTAGTTGTAAAGTCTAAAACAAAGTTTGGATACTTTTTTAGAGTAATAATGTTTTCTTTTTTAATATAGTGAACAAATACTTAAGTTCTGAAAATCCACTGTTCTTTGAACTACGTGCCAGATACCTAATTGCCTGTGAACGCATACCTGAAGCAATGGCTCTTATTAAATCTTGTATAAATCACCCTGAAATCAGTAAAGACTTGTACTTCCATCAAGCACTCTTCACCTGTCTGTTTATGTTACCTGTGGAAGATCAGCTGTTCCGAGAGGTATCACTTGAGACTTTTTTTTCTTATTATCATTTAACCATATTAAAAACAAAACAAAACAAAAGCTTGCTGCTACTGAATTGTTTTACAGTAATAACAAGGATTTAGAGATCACATTATCTAAATGTATTTAGCTGTGCCTATTCTTAATTTCATTTGACCTAGAATCTGATAGTAACAAATGAGTTAATATAATTTACTCACTAAACTTTTGGTATGATACAGAAAAAATAAAAATTGAGAAACATTATGATTTTGCCTCTTAAAGTGCTAAGAAGTTAAATGTTTATGTTTATTTTGCTTTTAACAATAAAAGGACTTCTTTCCTAACCTGAATTTTACTTACCCACAGACATTAATGGCCTTGCAAGTACTCATTGTGAAATGCAGGTGTTATATTCTAAAATTATAAAAGTATTCCAATACAGTGTATAATTGTAAAATAAACTAAAAATCTATCAGTAGTTACAAGTATACTAAACAAAAACTGCAGCTAGAGTATTACATGGTTTTGATGAGAGGAACTGACTCTTCCTTTCTTCTTACAGCATTTGTTGAAAACTGACTGTAAGAGTGGAATTGATATCATCTGTAACACTGAAAAAGAAGGCAAGACTTTGCTAGCCTTACAACTCTGTGAATCTTTTCTTATTCCACAGCTCCAGAATGGGGACATGTACTACATATGGTAAGTGTTTCTGATGCATAATTTGAAATGGAAAAATGGTAAACTAAAGGAGGATTGGTTAGTACAGTTTGGATTATATATTCTCCTTACAGTTGTTTGAACTACTTTTTAAAAATGCCATAGTTTTATTATTTTTAAATTATGTGTGTATGCATATTGATACGTGTGTGTGAGTACAGATGCTGTTGGAGGCCAGAAGAGGGGATCTGAGTCTCTGGAGTCAGAGTTGATTTTGTTTGTGAGCCATCCAACATGAATGTTAGCAAATGAAATACGATCTTCTATAACAGGCATACAAGCTCTTAACCACTCAAACATCTCTCCAGCCCCTACAGTTCCTTTGATGTTTTTGTTTTTGTTATTGCTGTTGTTTGTTATACTGAAAAAAAATCTTGGGACAAGTATATATTTTGTTTACTAAATCCTACTCCCCCACCTGCCATTTAACAAAGGAATGAGAGGGAAATTAAACTTTTATTAGCTAAGATTTAAAATACAAAATAAAACTTTTGAGTCCAAAGAATGTCTATTTTAAAATCTTATATTATTTTGGAACAAGTTGGGAAAATAAATATGTATACATTTGTAATATGTTCATTTGTAAAGTATTAAATAGATTATCTATTTTCTGGTTTCTAGCTATCATTTTGTTTTAAAATGCATTGAAGAGTTAGGCCATATGTTCTTTAATATAATTGGTCTTCTTGCTTTTTTTAATCCATCACCCTTTTATAAAAACACTCCTTACTTCTAGTGTTCACCACCAATTTTTATGTGTATATTTTATCTTACTAAATTCCTCAAGAGGTTTCCATATTTAGGAATACAATAGCTATGAGATTGTCTGAATGAGGCAATAGCTTATCTATAGAATACTTCCCTGGCATATGTGAAACAGCAGCAACAGACCAAAAATAAAATACTCTAGATTTTCAGCTAACAAAAATGTATTAATCAAATGTTATTTCTTGGTATCTTGAAGGTTATATAGAATCTATGTAGGAAGCTAGTGACTTATTAAGCTTGAGTACATACCACGCAGTTCACTAGAGATGTTTTTAAAGATAGTGAATAAAGGTAAGCAAACATTAGCTTTTTTATTTTTTAAATGTCAGTTACTGCCTCCAACATACATTGTGTTACTGAGGAGATGTTCATGCATTACTAGCTGGGAAATGTGATTCATAAAATGTATAAAGAAGCCTAACCAGCATCTCAGGAAATAGGTGCGTTGGGAGATTGAAAACCAAAATCACTGAGAGTAGTAGCAAAGACAATGTTGTTTCCTAACTGGAACAGTGATAGTCATTTTTAAAAATTTAACAATATAGAATATTAGAGTCATGAATTTTTAAACTGAATAATGTTTGTTATTCTCTCTTAGCACAGACTACTTTTTGATACCATAATTGTTACATTTCTCTTAAGTGGAGTTGTATTTACAATGATGTTGCATGTAAAATTAAAAAAGCCCAGTGTCTAGTGAGCCTAATTCCGCTATCATGTGCTGGGCTCACAAGACATATATAGTAAATCTATTTTGGAAAAAAACAAACAAACTTGCCACAAGAATTTTAGTAGATCCAAATTATGATGCCTTATGTAAGTTTTAGGGGTTAAAGGCAGATTCTATATGAGTTGTATCCTTATGCTTTCACTTTACCTGAAAAGCCACTGCCTTTATTTGTCCTTGTTCATCTTTGGCCATGTATTAGGAAAGAATCTACCTGTGAATGCTTTAATTGCTCTATAGTTTGTCTGTTCAAAAGTATAGCATGTTCACAGAAAAGCACTTGATCTAACAATAATGTAAAGGATACAGTTTTAAAATCAGTTCTATATGTTTAAATTTTAAAATTACTTTTAGTATCTGACTAGAATGAAAATACTCTAAAATAGTGGTTTCTAAATTTGCAAGTAGTATATTTACTGCTCTAGTTGGCAATAGGACCTGGGGAAATGAAGCCAAAATAATGAGCCAGACTAAAGTCTTAATCAACTAACAGCAAACCTTATTCAGAGCATCAGACAATTTATACTCTGAGGATTAAGAGGAGTCACATGAGTAAAGTGTAGAATCACAAGCACAAGACACATGTGGAGCACATGACAAAGCATATTTTTCCATAGAGGTATATAAACAATTAACAATAGCCAGTTGTAATGAATAATGGAAGTAAACTCACTCCTATCTACTACACCTGGGTGAGTCATGAAAACACATTTCAAGAACAATTTCATAGTTTCATGACTCACCCAGCTGTAGTAGATAGGAGTGAGTTTACTTCCATTGTTCATTACAACTGGCTATTGTTAATTGTTTATATACCTCTATGGAAAAAAATTTGGTTGGGAGCTAGGTGTTGTGTGGCTCATGCCTGTAATCTCAGCTCTTGGGAAGTGGTTGAGGGCAAATCAGAAGTTGAAAGCCCTCTGGGATCATACTGAATTGAGACCAACCTGAACTACAGAAGACCCAGTCTCCTGCCTGGCAGTGGTGGCGCACGCCTTTAATCCCAGCACTTGGGAGGCAGAGGCAGGCGGATTTCTGCGCGTTAGAGGCCAGCCTGGATACTGAAGTCACAAGACTCAGTTTTTTAGAGTTTTCTCACAAGCACTCAGAGTCCTCTCTTGACTCCATTCTTGGATGGTCTTCTGATGATGGTATAACTAAAGGCCAAAGTGTGTATTTTAAAGTTATGACATCAGTATTAGTATATGAAATTAGAACTGATTTGAGTCAACACTATGAATTTCTTAGGTATGCCAGCATATCTTTAGAAATCTTTGCTATTAATTCAAGATTATGTAGTTTTTATTTTTCTCTTTTAACTTCTATTAATCTCAAAGGTATCACAGAGAGCATACACATTTATAACTACTTTATGTATAGCCTTGCTAGGGTAGTATAGAATCAGGCAAAAGAAATCAGTATCTGAACTTATATTTTGATATATGTCTTTTTCTCATTTACAGGGAGTTGATTTTCCTATGGAGTAAACTGCAGCTTAAATCTAACCCTTCAAAACAAGTGTTTGTAGATCAATGTTACCAACTCTTAAGAACAGCAACTAATGTGAGAGTCATATTTCCTTTCATGAAAATCATTAAAGATGAGGTAAATACATTTATCATTTCAGGTTTTAGATTTTAATGCTGCATTCTCTGTATGTCACAATCCTTTCTCTTCAGCTTCAGATCTTCAACATGGAACATTTTGAAAAAAAAATAGTCTGTTGTTACTTAATTTGGGAATAATTGTTTTCATATAAAACATATATCTTATGACTAAGCAAATTTATCATTTTTACCATTATAAATTCTGTTTTTGAACACTAATTTACAAATGATCTGACTATATTCCTTCATTGTCTCAGAAAATCTTAGTGGATAATAAAACTGTATGTAGCTAAGTGGAATTACCAGAATATAAGAAAGTAAGAGGACATGAGGCTTGAAAATGGATACTTTTTCCTGTAGTCTATAACCCGTATGTTGCCAGTTTGAAATGCACCATACACAGATGCCATCCTGATTTCTTGTCCTGGTCAAATAATTATTTCAACCATTAGAGGCATAAAATCGATTTTAGTGGATCAATAAAAAATTCTACAGTAAAAGCTAATACACTTTACCATTAACAGAAGTAAAAGGTTGACTGATCTTCATACAATCTCCAGTAAGCTTATTATTTTTTATACTTTATTATATTTGTATGATGCCCCCTTTTGTATTTGAGTAAATGTAAGGCACTTGCCTAGCATATATAATAATAGCAATAATAACAATAATATAACCATTATTATAAGTACTAGTTAGTATGATAAAATTTGTACTGATTTTAAAACATAATTACTTCTTGGCATCTATTTGAAATGACACGCATTAACTCTTCTGTCAGAGAATGAGAATGACCCTTTAAAGGAGGCTAGAGTTGAAAGAAAATTCTAAACAAAGTTTGCAAACATTTTATACTACAGTTATTGGTTTTTGTCAAACTTGAAAATTAAATGTAAAAGAGTAAAGAAAACTCTTTATTAAAACTCTTTATTAATTATTGAAGAGATTTGATTTGGAAATTCTTTTCATACTTCAGAATACTGTTTCAGAAAGTTTTATTTTTGGAGTTATATTCAAAATTTTATAGCAGGTAGTATATTGTTTTTTTAAGTTACTTGAAAATTAAATGTAAAAGAGTAAAGAAAACATAATTATTGAAGAGACTTGATTTGGAAATTCTTTTCATACTTCAGAATACTGTTTCAGAAAGTTTTACTTTTGGAGTTATATTCAAAATTTTATAGCAGATAGTATATTGTTTTTTAAGTTATCTTTAGTATTAATATTTTTGTTTTCCCAGGTTGAAGAAGAAGGCTTACAAATTTGTGTTGAGATATGTGGTTGTGCTCTCCAGCTTGATCTCCATGATGATCCTGAAACTAAATGTCTAATTTATAAAACAATTGCACATTTTTTGCCAAATGATCTAGAGATTGTCAGGGTTTGTGCTCTCTCAGTATTTTTTCTTGAGCGTTCCTTAGATGCTTACCACACTGTTGAAGAGCTTTACAGACGTCCAGATGAAGAGTATAGTGAAGGCACGAGTACTGTACAAAATCGTGTTCGTTTTGAATTGCTCCCAATTTTGAAAAAAGGATTGTTTTTTGATCCTGAGTTTTGGAACTTTGTAATGATTAAGAAAAACTGTGTGGCATTACTGCGTGATAAATCAGCAGTGAAACTTCTAAATGAAAATACACTGGAAAATTCTGCAGGTAGTCCAAAAAAGAGAGGGGAGCAGCGGAGTATGGAAGAAGGGCTTGACACGGTCCCAACGGTCCCAGATCAGAGCACTAGAGAGACAGATCCTGATGCTGCATCTGGAGTGCAGCCTAAAGGGCAGCTTAATGCAAAGAGAAGTCTCTCTGCTCTTAACACTTCCAAAGTGGATCATAGTGTCCCAAGGCATCGGTGCATGTTATGCAACAAGGAATTTCTTGGTGGCCACATTGTAAGGCATGCCCAGGCTCATCAGAAAAAAGGCAGTTTTTCATGTGTGATATGTGGTAGGAAATTTAAGAACAGAGGACTTATGCAGAAGCATTTAAAAAATCATGTTAAGAAGATTCAGAGACAGCAGATTGCTACAGCACAACAGGATGATCCAGAAGTCATCACTTTGGAAGAAATAAATGGTTCCAGTTCTTCAATTTCCTTTGAAAATGGGAATTCAAATACTAACGGCTTAGAAATAGAGACGTTGACTGCTTCCAGTGAGAGAAACAAAGACGTCATCAGTGAGCACATGGCTGAGTTCATTAAAATTCCTATTGGTATACCAGAGAATGCTATGGAAAACATTATTGAAAATGGCAAACCAGACACTTCTTTCAATAATATCTCAGAGTCTTTACCTCAGTGTGATGATGACTATGAGGAGGAAGAGAATGAAGATGATTATGAAGATGATTATGATCTGAATCAAGAAACATCAGTACTGCACAAAATCAATGGAACTGTGTGCCATCCAAAAGATGTATATGCTACAGACCAAGAAGGGAACTTCAAGTGTCCTGCTCTTGGCTGTGTAAGGATATTTAAAAGAATTGGGTTTCTAAATATGCATGCAAGGACTGTGCATCCGACTGATTTAAATGTGCGGCAAACTGTAATGAAGTGGAGCAAAGGAAAGTGCAAATTTTGCCAAAGGCAGTTTGAGGATTCTCAACATTTTATAGATCACCTTAATAGACACAGCTATCCAAATGCGTACTTTTGTTTGCACTTCAATTGCAATGAGTCATTTAAGCTGCCATTCCAGCTTGCCCAGCATACAAAAAGTCACAGGATATTTCAAGCTCAGTGTAGTTTTCCAGAATGCCATGAGCTTTTTGAAGATCTTCCTCTGTTATATGAACACGAAGCCCAGCATTACTTAAGCAAAACACCAGAATCATCTGCACAACTGAGTGAAGTGATTCCTAACCATCAGGAAATAGACACATTTAGTAATGAGAACCAAACAATTCATCAGCCAGTTTCTACTAGTAAATCAAGGAAACATTCTACAGAACCAAAGACATATATAGACACTATCGAAAAGAAAACAGACAGTTTAGTTCAGAATGGAAATGAACATTCTGATGATACTGATTCAAATATAAGCTTGATAGACCAAAAGATGCCTGCCATAGAGCCAAATCCTGAAAATACTCATAGTACCACTGACTTAGTCAATGGACACAGTGAAATAGAGCAAACACCATTAGTTACATCAGATCCTACTCTGAAAATAGATATAAACAGAAGCAGGACAGAAAATGGTTCTATTTTACCCAATGTTGTATCACAAGAACACAGTGCCCTGTCAGTATCTCAGGCACCATCCAAACCAAATCTTACAACTGAACATACTTCATATGGCTTAATTTTAACAAAGCCATTTGTCAGACCTTTGCCTCCCAGTTACCTTGATGAACGATACCTTAGTATGCCAAAACGCAGAAAATTTCTGACTGATATTGTAGATGCCTGTTCTGATCAAGATAACATGTATAAAAAACCAGTGAAAAGATTACGATGTGGCAAATGCCTGACCACCTACTGTAATGCCGAAGCACTTGAGGCTCACCTTGCACAAAAGAAATGTCAGACACTCTTTGGATTTGATTCAGATGATGAAAGTAAGTCTTCTGTGTTTTCAGTAGCTCTATCTATAGAAATGGAAAGATACCATCAATATATCTATAATGTATATCTGTGCAACTAAAAACATTAACATGTGTAGCCCAGATGATAAAGCACTATTTTATACATTTCCTTTAAATCCACAACCACTATGAGGTGAGATTAATATTCTTGTTTTAGCTCTACTAACAAATTCACGAGTAGTTTGCACAGGCTTATGAACTTGTGGAAGCTAGGACTCAAGATTTTTCATTCTTTGCTCCTTTTCCTACTATACTATACTGTACTATACTATACTCTTTTTTTTTTTTTAACTACAACTGGCTTTTCTTCATTCTAGGTTTCATATAATAGAAGTTGTAGAAATAGTACTTTTCATCAGCATGATAGAATATGAAACAAGTAAAACAAAGTTACTGTCAAAAATAGAAGTAAAGAGTCTGGGGGAAATGGCTCAGCAGATAAAATACTTCCTGTGCAGTGGTGAGGACAGGACTTCAGATCCCCAACACCCACATAAATGCTGGGCCAGCATAGTGCCTTGTCTATAATCTAAGCATGCAGAAGCTCATGTAGAATCCCCCAGCAAGCTGGCTAGCTAGACTAGCTAGTAGAATCTCTGAGCTTTCGATTCCAGGAAGATCCTGGCTAAGCATTGTTATCAAGAAATATAACCAACATCATCCTCTGGTCTCCAAATGGATCTGGACACATATGTCCACTCACAAGCATTCATGCACATACATGTACACCACAAAGCACATGCACACACGTGCCAGAAATAAAAGGCTTGCTTTTCTACTATAATCTATGAAATTTGAATTAAAACATATTTTGTTTTACAGGTGCCTGATAATGTCTCAGAACGATCTGTTGATCATGCAGTAGTGTAAAAAAAAAAAGCACTACAAGAAAATGCATCATCAGTTTGCTATTTCCCTGATGGCCTTAATTTTAGAGTGGTCTCGGATTACTAAAGCAAAGACAAAGCACATTTTCTGGAATGAACTTGCAGAGGAGATGTGCCGGCTTAGACTCCAAAAGGGATATAAAACTCCCAAAGTACCAGTTATCCATGAAACCACACTTTCAAAAAGTTTATGGTGATTAATAGCAGCATGTTCAGTTTTGCTTTATGTGAAAACACATTTGGGTAACTAGTCAGAAATAAAAACCAGCTATGGCCTTACTGAAGAAAGGAAAAAGTTGATTCATTCAAAGATGAGGTGGAAGGGAGCTGGTTTACAATAAACATGTAAAACATTCTGAAAATGGAATTTGTTTTCTTGTCATGCATATTCATTATGTCTTCCCTTCTGGTCAAATATTTTAAAAAATCATTCATTGCTCTTTACTTTGTGATATAATTTAGAAGCTGATACATAGAAATAAAGCTTGATTTATCATGTTGTCTACTAAAGATTGTAACTTGTTTTAGGCGATTAAGGAAACAGGTCAAAGTTCAGTGAATGGCATGCCACCATTGAAAAAAACAAAACAAAAACAGTGCTCTTGATAAGAACCTTCAACATCCAACTTTTGTAATGTCAGTTATTTAAAGGCAGCAGTGTTACGTAGAAAAGGAAGAAAAATACCATCAGCTACGTTAGAGGGAGTGCGAGAAGAATCTAAGACCATCACATGCTTGATAATTGAAGGAAAACACTGAATTGAAAAATCTTCAATGTGAATAATGGTAAAAGCACACTGGGATATTTCTATCTGTACATATTAGGACATTGCTGGATGATTCATAGTAAAATCCTGTACACATTAGTATGAGTTATATAAGTATGGTCCTATGAAAGTAATTGGCTTAAAAGTATGTCAGTTAAGAATCAGATCAAGAGTTCATTTTATTCAGTTAGGAGAATTCAAAATTAAGCCATTCTAATGTACTTTCTTCATTAGCGATGAATTTGGCCTGCATAGTAATTTTTATATATTTAAGGAGGTATTTACATCAAAATTTGCACAACAGGAATATAATAACATATATTAATGCATTATTGTCCTTGGTGATCATTGATTTTTCCTAAGGAAGATTTTAACTTATTAAATTATTAAAACAAATATTTTACAGTTTAAAAAAATTCCCCTGGATATTTCCCACCTGTCTGTTATGAAAAGGAAAATACTTAAAGATCTTCTTTACCTAATAGTATATAAGTCTAAACAAGATAAAGACATACAAACATGAAGGTGAATTCTTTAGACACAATAGTATGCCACGTGTCAACTAAGTGTTCCAGCTACTCCAGCATGGTTTTGTGTGAATCAGACAATTCCATCATACTAAAAATTTTAGGAACATTTTTGAGGTTAGGAAAATAGGGTATTGCTTTCAGGGTGGCATTCAGACTTTTAAAAACTATGTTTCCAATAATGCTCTATCAGAGGATTTATTATTTTATTTACCATGGGCATTTGCAACTATGCAATGATGGTCACTAATCCATTCCGATCAAGTTGAAGTTTGTTTTAGTTTTGTTATGTAGCCTACATTAGGCTGTGGAATTTACATGCAGATAACAGATAAGTACAACTCATAAGTTTTAAATCCTTTTAAGTTCAACTCAAAATGTTTTCCATATTTCTTGACACTAAAAATGTAATAATTGACTTTTATTTTAGTTCATATTAAAAGTACATCTTTTAATAAAAATCCTGTTTGGAAACTGGTTCATTTGCATAATGAATTTTGGGGGGGAACATAATATATGCTTTGTACACTTTGCAGTTAATAACATTTTACCATTTTTTAACTTTATTTTTTACAGGTTGTAACCACTGATACAGATATAAATCCATAAAGCATTACATTTTCTTGAAGTTTGCGTGCAAAGATGTGTTAAACAAATTCCACCTGTTATTTTGTCTTTAAGCTGAATTTGAAGGTTTTCTTTTGACTTGTGTTGGAAGGAGAAAATTTTCCTATAGATAAAATTGGTTCATAAATAATCAACAAAAAATGTCATGTAAAATTCTATTGGACCAGATTTTTGTAACCTCTTCATATACTTCTCAATTTTACTTGTTGAAAGAATTTGTGCATTTTCTTCTGATGTTTCTCCGAAGTATTTTGCTTTTGTGTAAATCCAGCAGTTCTGCTTTGAGATTCAGAAGGAAAGGAAGTTTTCATCTTACCTATAGTCTTTTCCTTCTCCTTTTTTTCTACTTCTGTTTTGAGGATACATGAACCAACCTTTCAAAAGTTTGTTTTAAAATAAAGAATTGTATGTGTCAGTAAGGTCAAGAAAAGTGCAGATATGAATCCCTGCTGCTCAGACCCAGAAGATGCACAAGAAAGAATCTCCGTGGATAAGGACACTGGTACTTTGGGCTTTAGCCATATTCATTTTCACAAAACCACCAATATATAACAAAATATAATTTATATCATTGATCTGTGATTCTTTTCAAATCACACTGAACATTTAGCTGTACTTCCATGTTTGGTTTAATATTGTATGAATGAAAAGCCTAAAAGGGATGATAGTGTTTATTTTTTAATTTATTTGGTACTGTCAAACACCTTTTCAGAATGAGCAAATGCTGCATTTGCATTTTGGAATTGTTATGTGAAAGATATTACAGATTCAGCAAGAAGGAAAATTTGTGCTTCCTTGTTGAACATTAAATTATTTTACTTTGCATTTTATAAAAGTACAAATTAAAACTGAGCCATTGAACTGCAATAAATCAACAATAGTGTCTCATTTCAAGAAATTTTTTGTATTGTACATAGATTTGTTCAATAAAACATTGTCCTTGTTGATAATGCAAGCGTTCAATTTTATGTAGTACACTAATTTCAAGAATTCAGCTTATTTAAATGATTTTTTTTGCCTCATAAAAGTGGGATGTTTCAGTTAATGTTATCACATTCAGGGTATTGAAACTTTTTGAAAGGACAGAAAATGATACAAGTATGTTTTTTTGTTTTTATTTTTTATTAAGTTCAGATGCAGGGTTAAGAGATGGAAGGAGCTGAAAAGATGGCTCAGGGCTTTATAGAATGCTTTCTCTTTATAAAGGACTTGAGTTCATGGGTTCAGTTGCCAGCACCAATACGGCAGCTCACAACTGTCTAATTCCCTCTTCTGGCCTTCCTGGGCACTAGGCATACATGGCGCACACACATTATAAACATGCATACACTTAAAATAATGGCTACTGAAGTCTCTGCAGACTTGGGGCAAAAGCAGGTTATCAGACTCAGCAGATGCCAAGCAATGCATATGTGGACATTGATGCCTTCAAAGATGAAGTGCTTCCTCGAAATTGAATGAGTCACTCCAGTATCAGGATAAGTGCCGGATGAGCATGCCATGCTCAATATTTTCATCCTAATATTCTAAAATGGATCAGGGGTGTGGTTCAGCATTGGAAGCATGTTTGGCATGCTTGAGACCCTGATTTTAATGCCAATATTTAAAAAAAGTTATTGAAGTTAATATTTATATCCAGAAGTGATCTTGGGCATGAGAACTCTTTTGGTTCAGTAACAGGGAACAAAACAAAACTGCCCTATTAGCTATAACATAAAATTTTGAAAAATGGTATATAAGTAGAAATACCTTTAACGCAATGAGATAGCAGTACAAGTGAATGAATCAGTGAGTTAAGGTGATTTGCATATATTACAGCAGTTTGATGCATAAAAATGTAACTGAAACATTCTAGCAATGAGATTTAGAATTTTCTGACTGAGGGACACGTGATCTTGGACTAAATGTAATCCATTTTCACAACGATGCATCCATTATGATATTTAGGTAAGTTGTTTAGGTAACATTCCATTTTTTCTTCTTTGGAATTAGAAAAGTAGGTATACTTTTGTATAGGTGTTGCCACTATACCTGACATTAGATAATATATAAGCATAGATTATTCAGCTCACTGTTGAGGGCTAGCTGCGAAAGCATACTGCTGATCCTAGATGTATCATGGCCTGGTTAGGAAAATAGGCAGTCTGTAGAAAAGAAGTGAGTGAGAAGGAGCCATGCTGTTCTGTAACAAGCTCACAGGAGCAAACATTCTGTCAAGGGTGACTAGTGATCTGATAATTTTTTTGTTGTTTTTGTTTTTTTGTTTTTTTTGAGACAAGGTTTCTCTGTGTAGCCCTGGCTGTCCTGGAACTCACTGTGTAGACCAGGATGGCCTTGAACTCAGAAATCCACCTGCCTCTGCCTCCCAAGTGCTGGGATTAAAGGCGTGAGCCACCACTGCCCGACGATCTGATAATTTCTTAATGTTCTTCATACCTTAGATGGACTAAGCTCCCAGCACATGAACATGTGTACATGCTCACGTCAAATGTGCTATATCCAAGCAGTATAAAATATATACTAATCTGTAGAACCAGTAGTTAACAAGGACACATATATTGGATTATATATCAGTATCTTTATCTTGAAGGGTGCTACATACTGAAGAAAAATGGCTTCTGATTTACTGTATTGCCATATACTCACTATATGCTACCTCCTATTGTTATAATAACTCAAGCATTAATGTGAACAGTATGTCTAAGAGAAGGGTTATCCAATTGAATAATCAAATAACAAGCCAAGCGTTAATGTGACTGGTACTTGTCAGATGCCTAAGAGAAGGATTACCCAATTGAACAATCAAATTTCTTGCATTTTGCCAAGCAGTTTCCCCTACAAACATGAATGGAGACATGTCCAAAGAGAACTTTACCTGAGAATCAGTGATTTCAGGGACAGAATAAAGTCTGGCTGACATACTTAGTAGATAATTCATTATTTTCTAGTAAAGTGTGGTCCCTGGAACAGTAAAATCAGTGTCATGTCAAAACTTGTTAAGTATTATATTGTAGAGGTTTCCTGCAAACTCTAAAGCTGGTAGAGAACTGCAAGAGGCAAGACAGAAACTTGTTCAACAGGACTTAGCTGGACTGGTTCAAACTTATGTAATCTAACACTTAAGTACAGTATAATTCTGGAAAAACATTTCCTAGTAACAATGACCTCAATCCCACATGCAAAATAAAACTTAAGGCATGACTACATTGAAACTCTTGGAAAGTACTTGTGGCCTCTACTATATAAAGATGGGTTCTATAATTTAGTGGCCCAAGATCTGGTGTGGTCTGTCATAGGTAGTGTAGAATCACTAGGCTATTAAGTACATGTGACATCTCCCCTAAGGGTGGGTTCTATTGACTAAAAAGCAAAGTTAAAGATTAGAGACTGGGATAGGGAGGGGGAGTCTGGGATAAACATTCTGGGAAATTTGAGTGAGACCTAGTCGTATAAACAACAAAGGTCACCAGATCACTTCAGCTTCTAGGTGGAAGACTCACATTCTTCCCACTTAAGAAATAAGCCTGGACAATTCACATTCCTGGTTTCCCAGTGCTTATTTGTGAGCTTGTACCCTCTATATCTATTACAAATCTTAGGTAATTCTTATACAAGCTTGTAAAAGAAAATTTTATTTGTCAAATGTAATTGATATCTAAGGGGCTTACTGCTGAATAGCTTTTCCTTTCTAGCTGTTTATGAATTCAGCTGGCTGGTTCAATTCAACTGTTCTGGCTCAAAACTTCTCTCCAACGTGACTGATTCAAACAGGCTTATCTTGGCTTCTGACTGAAGTGCTCTTCGTGGCCTGAAACTAACTCTGCCAATTGGTTCTAACTTCTGGCTCCTTCTCATTCTCTGGCTCATTCTGTCTTCACTTGCAATCTATCTTTTAAAAACTGTCCTGTTAAAACTGCATGGATGCACACACAGGCACACACAAACCATATCACACACACCACAGCACCTCTCTTTCTCTAGCTGCTCTCTTAAGTCACCTCGATTTCCTGTGCTGTTCTCATGAGAATTGGAGGTACCCTATCTCTGACTCCCCCTGTTAAACCTTTCTGATGCATCACTCTGCCCCTGAATTAGACATCATTTTCAAACATGGCTTCTTTCTCTACAAACTAACTTTGTCCTCACTTTTAGGAATTAAAGGTATGTGTACTAAGCACATGCTTGTATTCCAGCCAAAAGGATTAACGGTATGACAATTCCTGGTTCCTGCCAGGTAACCCACCTAGAAGGTCTTTGGATGTGATCCCCTTGCCAGAGTAGCCATATTGGTGGATTAAAATTCTTCTACACAAGCTAAGGGTCAAAAGTAGATAATAGACAATGTAGTGTATTACACTTCCCCATTTGGAAAACTCCCCTTAAATTCAGAGCTTTCTCAGAAATACCCCTATTGGTAGGCACTTAACAACTTAGTGAATACATAGTAAGAACCGATGCCTGAAACAGTTTAACACCTGAGAAGTTTTTATTTACATTAAAAAAAAATACTGAGTATACTCTGGTGTCTCCTCAAAATGTATGCCTTTACCTCAGTTATTAGTAACAGTCACAAGGGTATGTAGACAAGACTACTCAAATTCTAGAATTGTAGTTATATTGTGGAAATCTTAGTTATTAAGAAGATATCATTAAATGGACATAATGACATCAATATACCCATGGATTAATAAATCTCCCAGCCCTTATCAGAGTAGATTCTATCTGTAGTAGATGGTTATTATCACAAAAACCCCAAACTAGCCAAGATGTTTAATAAGAGTAAGAAACTGCAGAATGTTCAGCCCTAAAAGTAACACACAGAAACAGAGAGAGAGAGAGAGAGAGAGAGAGAGAGAGAGA